CTTGTTGCAAGGCTCTGATCTCACAAACACTTTGAGAGGAGTCCTTCATTGATTTCGCAAGGAAAAGGTAGCGTTCTCGTGTGATATTGAAGTTATGTTTTGTCACGTTAGAGTAAACGAGGAGCATCACGACTATTTTCGATTTATCTGGTGGCCCATTGGAGACACTTTTCAGGAAAATAAAGATTATCGCATGAAGGTTCACGTATTTGATTTAACTTCGTCTCTGTGTATGCTCTAACTTAGCCTTGAAAAAAACTGCTCCTGCTGGTGAAAATAAGTTTGGTTTCGAACCTGCTGCATTCCTGAAGAATGATTTTTATGTTGACAATGGACTAAAATCTGTGCAAACAGCTGATGAGGTTATCAGTTTAATCAGGAACTCTATCAATTTAAACCAAAGTAGTGGATTTAAGCTCCACAAGTTTGTAGCAAAAGATCGGGATGTTGTAAAATCCATTCCATGCGAGTACTATGCTCTACATTTAGAGTAACTCGACCTATGTGTTGATAACCTGCAAGTCGAACGAGTGCTAGGTATTGAATGTGCAAAGAAAACGATTTCTTCCAATTTTGCATAACACTGAAAGATAGACCTCGTACAAGACGTGGTGTATTGGCCACCATATGTTCAGCTTATTATCTTCTGGGTTGCGTAGCTCCAGTATTACTAAACGGTAAAAAAGTCATGCAAGCTCTTTGCAAGGAGAACATAGATTGGGACGATCCTTTACCTGAAGTTTTAAAAGCAGAGTGGGAAAGATGGCGGAATGATGTTCTCTCCTTTCAAGATTTGCAGGTGAAGAGATGTTTGAAACCTGAAGAATTTGGAGTGGTAAAAAAAGAATGAACTGCATTATTTCTCAGATGCTAGTTGTTTTGAGTACTGTCAGTAAGCGTAATTGATAGTGTGGATAAAGTACGCTGCTCGTTGGGTTTGGGCAAATCTTGAGTCGCCCCATTGAAGCAAATCTCGGTCCCAAGGTTAGGACTCACTGTTGCTGTTATCTCTGTAAAGGTAAGCGCCTTTATCACGGACGAGCTTGGTTTCGACAATGTCACCGAAACTTACTGGACGAATAGCAGAGTTGTGCTAGGATATGTCAATAACGAAGCCCGACGTTTTCATGCTAATGTTGCAAATCATATTCAGAAAATAAGAGATCATACGTCTCAGCAGCAATGGCATTGCGCAGAATCGAAATCTAATCCAGCTGATGATGCTTTGCGTGGACTCAAAGCTAATGAAATCAGAAAGTATTCTCGTTGTTGGATAAATGTTCCATCGTTTTCGTATGAGTGCATCGAGAATTGGAGTCGTTTCAATCAACCTGATTATAAAATAAAACTTCGGTCTGATTATCCAGAGATCAAAAGGAGCAATACCTTTTCTACTTCAATTCATGAATTCGCGAACCTGTTGCAACGACTTAATTACTTTTCCCAATGGTATCGGTCAAAGAGAGCCATCGCGTTTCGTCTGCGTTATCGTCAAGTGCTTCTTCAAAGAGTCCGCATGAGAAAGAAGATTCTTAAAGACTTACCTATTGAAGGAAATGCACTTAAATCCATTATTGTCAACCAATTGGTAGCAGCTGAAAAGGGAGATAATCAAGTCGGCTCAAGAGCAAAAATTTTGTAAAGAGCTGCAAGCTTTAAAGTCAGAGAATTTTACGGAATTGGAGAGCCAACAACACAAAAATATTTCTAGGAAGAGTCCTTTAGTGAATATAGATCCCTTTATTGATGAGTATGGAATAATAAGGGCTGGAGGAAGAATCAGAAGATCAATATGGTAGAGCGATGTAAAACATCCAGTCATTCTTCCAAAACATCAGAACATAACTTTTCTGATAGCGAAATATATTCATCAAAGTATCCATCACCAGGGTCGAGGAGTCACGTGGAATGAGATTAGAGCTTCAGGATACTGGATTGTTGGTTGTAAACTCATCGTTTCAAAGGTGATAAAAATATGCTCGGATTGCCAGCGCATGCGTTCATACGTAAAGGATCAGAAAATGGATGGGGCCGGTTCGATAAAAACGTAGTTAACTTTAACTATATTTAACGCTAACTACCGTATTTAACTCCTTAACTGTAGTAACTTAACTGCTCGACTTAACTGCGTTGCACAAAACCTTGTTTGTCGGATAGTTAAGTAACTGCGTAGTTAACTTGCGTGGAAATTGCGTGGAGTGTTGTTTACTTTAAATGACATAACGTTTAATCAATTTATCCTTTGTAATAGCGGGCAAGTGAACTATAAATTGACTTTAAAATCAAGTGTAAAAAAGGATTTGTTACGTGAATAAATTGTTGGCTGTTTTTCGTCAGCAAAACTTGGGATGGTTTACAGAACTGACGAATGTAGTACATTGTCCATAAAGCTCTTATTCTAAAAGCCTTTGCCATGGAAGATACATATGCGATTAACAACTCAAGGTAAAACCTTGTTGATCAACGACATCTCGCACATAATTGTCTTTGAGAAGATAAGCCGCCATATTTAACTGTGTTTTGAAAAGTTAACTATGCTCCATAGCAAAGTTAACTTTATCTACCTTTTCACTGCATTTAGCGCTAACTACTTTTTTATACAACCGACTTAACCGAGTGGTTAGATTTAACTACTTTTTAACTGCAAAAAGTGTAGTTAAAAAGTAGTTAAGAGCTTTATACAACCGCCCCCTGATCTTGAAAGGATAGAGTGGAACCTTCTCCACCGTTCACATACGCCGCCGTAGATTGCTTTGGCCCATTCTATATCAAGCAAGAAAGAAAAATCGCGAAAAGATGGGGTGTGTTATTTACATGCTTAGCTTCCTTGCAATTCATTTGGAGGTTGCGCATTCTTTGGAGGCTGACTTATTTATAAATGCCTTCCGACGTTTCGCATGTCGAGGAGGACGAGTGAGAGAACTGCGTTGGATAGTAATGAGTTGGAGATGTGTTTAAAAGAAATGAATATTGAGAAAGTAAAATCTGAATTGCTGAAAGAAAATTGCGACTGGGTAGAATTTAAGTTTAACGTACGTAAAGGCAGTCATATGGTCGGAATTTGGAAAAGGCATATCAGGCCTGTGCGGAATGTCTTGAACGTCTTCTTGTATCAAAATGGCAGCCAACTCTACGACGAATCACTCGTGACGTTTATGTGTGAAGCTGAAATGATAGTGAGAGTCGTCCTCTTACAGTCGACAATCTATGCTAACCCGATAGCGGTGAACTACTAACACCAAACCATCTTCTTACAACTAAAAGTAAAGTCGTATTACCACCGCTTGGAATATTTCAGAAGTAAGATGTATATCTAAGGAAACACTGGACAAGATTTCAACACCTATGTAACAAGTTTTGGGTGCGATGGAAGAAGGAGCTCCTGTATTCTTTACAAGAACGTCAGAAGTGGTTTAACCCAAAGGAAAATCTACAAGTAGGAGATGTTGTGCTCATGGCAGACAATGATTTACCACGAAACCTATGGCCTTTGGCGCGAGTAGCAGAAGTTTATGTGGATGAAGACGGTCTTGTGCGTAAGGCAAAATTGGATGTGGGAGATCGTAGCATTAGTAAAGATGGGAAAGGAAAGGGTCTTTATCTAGAATAGAATGTCCTGTTCATAAACTTATATTGATGATCAAAGTAGTGAAACCGGGAATCCCCGACGAAGAGCCTGTCGAAGATCAATGAACATTATTAAACATTAGTTAGTTGTTTGTTTGTTTAATAATTTATAAGACGTTTAGAATTTAGGAAAGCCATGTAAGTGCCGAGGCATGACAGCTCGGAGAGCTTCCAAACCTTTTATCGTATTGAATTAATTAATTGTGTTATCATGTTATATGATGAACGATCTTTAAAGGATATAATGCACAAGCAGGAAGAGGAATTCTCATCTTTCCAACTCCATCATAAACAAGATTTAAATATTCCCTGTAGGCAACGCTTCTCAAGATCCAACAAATTTGAATTTAGAATCCTCAGATCATTCCTATATTGCTTTTTATTGTATGTCAGGCAAAGACATAGATGATACTTGACTTAGTTAAGTGACACATTAAAGAATAAAAACACTAATATGTTTTAAAAATATAAATACTTATACCAGACAAAGTTAAAATGTAGGAAACATAAATGAAATAAAACAATAAACAATCGCACTAACGCTTCTTCTGATCCAGTTTGTCAATAACTTTTTGTATCAATGGTGCGGTACTTTAATGCAGAGAGTCTCAATGACCATCTATTGAGGCAGACAGTGGAAAATCCTGGGTGCAGTGTGATACATTTCTTGCTGGTAGTCATTTCTTGAAGCACCCATTGATCTGACAAGCAATCTACACATCTATCAAAATCTTTACGACACATACATTCATTTTCATTCTCTAAATGTGCTGTTGAGTAATTGCCACAAGAGCACCTAAATACAAAGAAAACCACACCAATCTGTTGACTAATGATGTATTCCGAATCATCGTCAGGAATAGAGTTATTCTCAGAATCAGATGTTGTGGAGCACATTTTCATTTCCATTTATACGTATACAAAGAATTGATCTAAATAAAAATGAATACATAGTGATATACATAAATGAATACATAATGATATACAATAAATTGATATACATAAAAATAAATTTGATTTCAATTTATACGTATACGTAAAACGTTAGGAAAATACAGAATTCTTATGCTGCAGCACAATATATTTTGATGTTTTATACATGGCATTTAAACCCAAGTTCCTCGCCCATGAGCACTGGCACCAGTCCTTGCTTGTTGTCGCTTCGCTCGGTCAAGTTTCATATATGCAAAAAGTATATTCGTGTGAAAAACTTAGAAATTTATCAGAAAAATCAAAAACAAAACTTAATCTTAATTTTTAGTTGTTAATACTGTTAATTTATAAAATAAAAAAAAATTGGGTGATATGCACTTTAATTTGAATCTTCAAATTTTAATTTCCAGATTCTTCAAGTATTAAAAGATTTCTTTTAGGTGTTCGTGCGCATTCAAAATGACCACATCGAAGGAAGCCCATTTACGTTTCATGTCATCAAGTCTGTTGGTACCTTGTTCAAAATTGGCAAAAAGGGCAGCAACATTGGAGAGTTCAATGGTCTGTTTGGTGTTGCTGTCGATCCGGTTGAAGGAAGAATTGTAGCGACTGACTGTCATAATCATCGTGTTCATGTATTTAGCTCGTACGGAATGTTTCTCTTTTTCTTTGGTAGAAAAGGTGAAGGAAGTGGGGAATTTCGATGTCCCACTGGTGTTGCCATTGATGTTGATGGGAAAATCATTGTTTGCGAAAGACTCAATTACAGATTACAGGTAAAAGTCGTCTAATATGATTGTATTAATTAAGGGACCATGTTTGAATTCAAAATAGCTTAGTTCTTCATAAATTTATAAAATGTTTTTTCAAAAAAGCTGACTTACGACGTTAGACGTGGCTACAGATTTATTGTTAGTGAGATGGTATGACTACTTTTACCATAGGATATATAAATATTTTTAGGTGTGTATATATGTTAATACGTATATGTATGAGAATGATATGTACACGTATGATAAAGACAGGCAAACAAGAAAGCAGACAATACTATAAAGTTGTTGATTCTGTATCTTACTGCTCTAGTGTGATCCTAGAAATTTTTTATATAGCATTTGGAAAGATTATTATCTGTTCCTCAAACATTCTTAATTACCAGAGTCATTTCTAGATAATTCTAGTTATCTTTAGGTATTTCTAAGAACTATTAAGTGTTTCAGAGAAAAAATTAAATTTAACCATAAAGAAAATGAAAATAAACGCTTAACTTTTTAATAAAAAGTAGGTTGTTCATAAAGTAAGCAGTATTTCACGCTTCCTTTTCAAATTATTTATGCCAGATGTTTGAACGTAATGGATCATTTTTACGCGAGTACCGTATACCTGATCTGAAAGCATCTACATTAGCGGTTGGCAAAAAAAATCAATTAGTAGTAGCTGATTCAGCAAATCGATGTGTTTATGTCGTCAATATGGATACTGGTGAGTTGCGCACTTAGTTTAAGATGCGTACACACTCAACGATATATGACATCGATCACATATCACGTGTTCTTGCTAAGTATGTAAAGTCGCATGCAACTGCGTCAAGCACTTCAAGATTGAAAAAAATCAGATAAAAATTTGTGACAATATAATTTTGTGTAAACGCATATTTTGGATAATAAACAAAAGTAGTTTTGTTTTTGATCTGATGATCCAATCTAATTTTCTATAGAAATATAGACCTTTTTTCATACATGTTACCGTCATTGACTCTTTTGAAGACGAATGTTAAGTAATCAAAACCTGATGTTTTTTTCACTGCAGATTATTTGTTATATAATTCAGGCCATTCTTTAAAGTTTGGCTCTTTTGGAGATAAAACTGGGAACCTTTCGTATCCCTGCTACGTTGCTGTGAATAACAAATCTCATATAATTGTTTCTGATATGCACAGTCATGAAGTAAAGGTAATATTTTGTTACAAAGTCTAAAAACAGAAACTAGAATGAAAAATAGGACTTTTAGCTATGAAAAATTTTCTAAAAAGTAAAAATGTGTTCCTATGTATGCAGATAAACCTTGAAATTTGGCAAAACAGCAAAGTATATTTCATGATGACTAGGTAATTTTCTCATGATCACTATAATTTCTAAACTAAACTATTTCAGATTTACAATTAAACAAGCTTTTATCATATAAAAAGATATTTATCATAACCAGTAAGCATGACACATGAACCAATTTTAACATTCATGTAATTATATAATTAAAGACATGTTGGTTACATTCTGTTTGTATTTGCAAATACAATGCTACTAGTGATTGCTGTATAGCACACCTTGCATATACTTACAGAAGATAATAATCTAGTGAAATACCTAATAAACATTTATGGCATCAAGCTTTCCTTAACTGCAAATTTTCACTCTGATAAATTTTGCTTAATCTTTGGCAGAAAAAAAATTTGAGTTTGCTGGCACTGATGTGGAGATGGGTAAAGGGTTACAATAAACTTGCATGGTTTGAAGTCTGAGCTTTTCTATATCTATGAACTGTCACTAGTAGTACCAAATTTCTAACTTAACTCATTACATAGAGGTTTGAATGGGGGTCTCTAGGGGGTCTATGCCTGACAAGATGGTAGAAATTTTTAAAGACTATATCTGTTTTTGAATAGCATTATTTTAAAATAAATTTTACGTTCCTAGACATGGTAATGAGCCTAAATATTTCAAGTATTGTTCACTTCAGTTTTTTTTAAAGAAACGTAATCAAAATGTGTCGTTTTTACGCAAAAACGATGCCCACAAAATGCATTTTGTGTTGCTCTAAAACGCTGAAAATGGCATTTCCAAGGCTCTGAAATTCAAATTTCCCAGGGGAGAATGCCGCAGACCCCACAGGTGCGCAGCGCCATCGACGTCTTATGACTGATGTTTGAAAAATACTACAACCGCCCCTGGTTTACATAGAGTTAAATTACAAAAAGTTTGGTTTTATGCTGTGTGGTTTTTATACCAATCGAGGCAACAAAGTATATGAAAGGTTAATGGTGGAAATCACAGTAATAAAAAGCGTCAGAAGTTGCTCTGTGCAACTATGAGGAAGGATTTCAATCCGTTCACTCTGCCAGATTGCATTCCAGTCACCTACTCAAGGTATTCGGGATGGGCGTTTGAGTTTGTAATATATTTCTGATAAATATTGACATATCTATTCGTGAATGCATATCAACACGAAATGCATATAGGCCAATCAGCTTTTCAGCATACCATATAAATTTTGTTTTCATAAAATTGTTTACATACATGTAATGTATACAGGGTGATCCTAAAAAGGCACTATATAATATTCCTAAGTTAACTCATAGCTTCAGCTTGCACACATAGAATTTTATATTTAGGTAAACTGAGATGATTTTATTGAAAATTTTTTTGTTGATATAAATTAAGATGAAGCAAATCAACATCACGAAACAGGCACATAAACAATCAGAAAGAGAAGAATACTGCAATGGATATGGGTGGTGGCACTCAGATAGTTTTATAAGAGTTTGGTATATCTTGCAAAGTTTTAAAACAATTTGAAGAGTTTTTTGTATCCAATTCATGCCTCTATCCTGCTGTTGAAATCTAGGTCATGCTAGTTAACAATATAAAAGAAAGTTTAGCAAAGAATCTCTTTTCATAAAAAACATGAACAGCAATCCAATTTGCGATTGAAGAGAAAATCATCAATAAAGAAGCATCAGCAATGACGAAACTAGTTTTTTTGATATGACTTGATAACATTAAGATCTAAATCTACTCGTTGAAGTTTTTTTCATTCAAGTGGCCAATAACTACATTGTTCACAAAATAAAGATAATGCTGCCAAGTGAACCAAATTTCACCCAATACAGCAAGTGCTTCTTGTTGAAGGGATTGATATTCTCGAAAAACTTCATCCCTAATCTTATTCTTTTCTCCATAATACTGAGTAACACTTGTTTCCGTCGTTTGTTGTACTACATCTACGATGAACATTTTCATTAAAATGTAAACTAGCCAGTGCAAGCATGAAAGGTGAAAATACTTTCGCTGTCATTCTAAGAGTATTTATCATTCTTAGATTTTAATCTCACAATGTAACTATCATTATAATGGACATGAAAATTGCCCATTCAACTGACCATCACACCTGTTACATTGTGTACGTATGTACCCATCCATGAAAAACCATTTTTGGATGCCAGTGTTTTAGATTTGCATGGAAAACCTTGATGAAACATGTTTGTGCATCTGTTAATAGCCTCTATATATCATAAGGAGTATAGTCTTGGTCAGTATAGGACTTAGCTAGACAGTGAGAGTTAATTTTAAGCAGACAATCCATCAAATACATATAACTAATACAAAATGATACAAAACAAGGGTATATCTAATCAGTAGCGGGTCTTAAATTATAAATTTCAATACATATCATAGTTATCAAATTAATAATACTTACCACGCTTGATCCAGTTTCGTTCTTCAGTTCTTCATGGCAACACTCCTTAAAAGGCTGGCCCGTGATATTCTTGTGCTCATCAGAGATATGGTGTTAAAAAGATTTCCATTGTCATAAAATCATGTATTGAAAGCCAATCTTTTTCGATGCAGCGCACCAATACAAATGGTTCCAAGCTATTTTCATCCAAGCACATATAACCCAAAACATTTAATTTTCCCAGCTTTTTACATCTTTTTAGTAAATGATCTAGCTACATGCGAAATGTCAGAGTAATATTTTGTTTCAGGAGCAAAATCTCCGATCTATTTGTTCATTCTCATATGTCTATTAAAGAGAAATGTTGTGATGCCATGTTTTTTTTCCTTCATGAATTGAAAGCTTCTTTTCGAACTTTCAAGCTCAGTCTATTTGCTGCTTCCCGTTTCATTTGCCTATAATAAAGGTAAAAGTTGAAATATAAACATGTACAAAATAAGAAAGTACTAACAGAATAGCTGCATGCTCTTTTTAGAATGAGCATTTATAGTAATGTATAACACTATGTTTGGTTCACATAAATTAAGGCAACAGTTTGGTACTATCTCTTTACATGAAAAGTCTCAAAATGGATTATCTTTGTGATACTTGTGCTAAACAAAAAGTATGCACCATACTTGGCTGACTGCCCAATTTAATGCTCGGGCAAAACTAGAACGTTAATTAGGGGTATATATTCATATATTCAGCCCTGCCCTGCTGATTTCTTTTGTTTGCGATGTAAATATCAAAAGAAGTCAGCAGGGCAAAGCTGAATATATTAGTATCCACCCCCCCCCTTTAGCGTTCTAGTTTTTCCACTGATTAAATGGAAGCGTGTATCAACAGCCCACACAATTTCTTGTATTTGTTTCAACTTCTGAATCATCTTGTTCCTATATGTTTCCCTATAACACACGAAGAATGGAAAAAGGAAATTATTTCGATTGTTGTATAAAGTGCCAAAAACGGAGGTGCCTCTTACTTAAGGAGACACCACAATTCAATACAGCAAAGTTCAACAAAATACTTACTTTTGGATACAACGTGATATATTTCTAACGTGATATAAATACAACGAGATCTATTTCCTACTGAATATTTTCCAAATACAAGAGGTTGAGACTTCCAGACTAATGAATTTTCGCCGCAAGTAACGCATTGATATTGCCTGCTTTTCTACATTTGAATCATATTGTAGTGAACAGATGAGCCAGAATTGAATAGAATACCAGGAATTTTGTCCTATCATATGGAGGAGTTTAGGAATCGATCCTAAAAATAGTAATAGTGTCATGCTATTTCTCTGTAAAAATATGTAATAAGAAACCAGCTGAATTTGAACCTTATGAAGCTCAACTTTCATTTTCCCTGTGGATCAAGATGTATGGGTATTGCATGAAAAAATTTAACCACAAAAGCTTCACATAAAAGTCATTGAAGTTGAGGCCTCTGATAATGAAAGAGCTTGAAAAATGCAGTGAGAAACTTTGTTATAAGTAACCACATAATAAATGGAAACTTATTTGATTCTTCCATTTTTAGAATCATCGTATCAATTACATCATCATCATCATCATTATCATCATCATCAACAACATCGTCAACATCATCATCATCATCATCATCATCATCATCATGTGGTTTGAGTTTGACGAGTAATCGTAAGTAACGTTTAAAAGTTCTATTTTAGTCTGTGTAATATTTGTGGCCATGTGATTCATTTTATAAAAAACAATCATTGTTGTTACTCATACGTATTCAACCAACCATAAAGCTAAATAATATAAAATATGTATCAAAACGATAGCTCTTATTACTTTTGATTTTATCATTTTTAGCACCATTGCATTTCGTCAGTCTGCTTAGCAACACGCTTTACACCAGTATTTCAGTGGATATAACATCTCTAATAATCTATTAAAAGATCAGAAAATCTGTTTATCAGACCAACAAAAAGTAGTGTTCACATGAAATATTTGTAATTATAGTAACGCGTCATAAATTACCAAATCCAAATACTGAAAAGGAAGATATTTAGAATGGATTCGGCAAGTACAGCGCACTCGTAAGGACTTTCAAGGTCCACCATTGCCGTACAGATCGTCAGGTTGGCAATCGTGTGTTGTTTGTTATGACCACTTTTCAAAAGACTGCTTGAAAACATGAACCCTCTAGCAACTTCCCTTTGCTACATAAGTCAAGCACGTCTCAAATTGGATGCTATCCAAACTATTTTCAAACGAAAGGCAGAAGCTGCAACAGCAGTTCTTCTAATGTGTCGGTTGGTGTATGTTCTAGTGGCAAAATTAGAGATGCAAAACTAGATCGTCGGCCGGTAGATTATATATTTTTTCGTATATGCCCATTTTGCTGATTAGAACACCATTGAAATAACACCCTGTCCAGCACGGATGTGACAAATATTAATTATTTCTGTTTTTGGTTTTATAGATGCTTTCTTCACTTGTGGCTTCTTCAACATCATCAGATTCGGTTAATGAGCCTGTGGAGCCCATGATGAGGGATTGGAATATTTAAGTAATATGGGCGGCAAAGAGAAAATGTTTTCAGAAAAATATGTGCAAGTTAAAATGAAGGGTAAAGTAAATCGTGCTTATATGCGTATCAAACGTACATACAAAGTGTAGAATTTCCATAATTATTGAATAGTTTTGCTAAAATTTCACAAACAGCTGGCTATAAATGCGTAGCTTAACTGCTGTATTGTTATTAGGTCGGGGGGAAAAATTGTTTGCTGCTAGCAAGGAGAGATCACTTGAGCTATTTAAAGAGTGGAAGCCTTCTATATGTAAACATTTGTACTGGTGTGCTAACAATGGAGAAGAGAAGCCTGTCTGAAAAGCCCTATCTAACCACGTGATCCACACATTCCAGCCTGCAAACATGGTTAACTAGCGGAACGGAAATATTTAAGCAGCTGTAAGAATAAATATACTCTGAGAGTTCTAGATACATCTAGTGAGGTCTTATTAGTTTTTTTAAGAATTTGTTTTGAGCGTTTTGATTTATTTTAAAATTAAGTGGCTTCATATATTTATTATACATCCGTGCATGTAAAAATTGTTGTAAAGTGTAGTTTAAAGTGTAAAAAAAAGAATAACATGGACTATGAATTAATCATACCTAGCTTTTTTTAGATTATAAAGCATATGCTCGACTATCTGAAGTTGCATTCAAGACGACTGTGATGAAGGATGTTATGCAGTTGTCTACAAACCGTATCACATCAGGAGTTGAATCATTCCATTCCCTGCCAAATCACATAGCTCCAAAGAGGCTACATTATAGTTATCATGGAATGAAAGCAATGTAATTGTGTAAAAAATGGCAAATTTAGTTGAATAAGTTTTTTGTATGTTTAGGTACCAAGCTGCTGTTCTTCATCACAACGAAAATGTGAAATGCGCACAGGCTAAGACGAAGTGGGGAGAGGATAGATAGGAATTCCATAATTTTAGTTTGAACAAAGGTATATTGCTCAACAAAAATCTGATCATAGTCTTATTCCAATAATATGCCTGAGCTAAAGTACAGTATTTCGTTAATATTTCACAAACATCTGTGATGATTTTTGTGTTTGTTTAAGAAACTGAGCACCCGGAGGCGAAGGACCATTCAATCACATGACCCAAGGAATTTTTAATTAAACTCAAAATTTCAAATGTTGTCGGAGCTATGGTCGAAGCCACGAGGGCTAGTCGATTCATCGGTAATTCTAGTTTTGTATATGTAATAGCATGGTTTCGAGTACAATTTGGGAAAAACGTGCACGAGTGAGTTTTTCAAATACTATCAAAATTGCTCGAGTCCGAAGGACGAGGTTATTTTAATATACGTTAACGTACTGTTGCTTTAAATTTACAATGCACAACACATATCCAGTTCTTTTTTACCCGTGTTTAACAATTTTATCGATGGCGGTCAATCAAACACAACAGCCATTAATGTACAATTGGTACTACTCCAAAACTTAACAGGTACAACTCAGGTACAACCCGGGTACATACCCAGGTACAACTCCAAAACTTAACACACAACAGATGATTTGATGGAAGCTTCCGAACCAAGACCAACTAGATGATATCAAGGAAAATTTGGAGTAAGCAGTCTAAATATTATGTAAAAATTATTTTTATTATTCTTTTCCACTTGTCAATAAAAATCGGGTCATATATATGTTTGGATTAAAACAATTTTTAACTTTTTCTACTAATTGGAAATTTCTTAATCTAAAAATGTTATGGATATAGAACATTTACAACCATACATTTGCAAATGATGTATCTATTAGCTTGGTGGGTTTAACAATCAACGTCATAAAAAGTATTTTAGAAGTGTGCTCAAAGACTCAAAACAATGAATATTTATGTTAATCTGTCATTTTTCGTAACTCTATGTTTACACCAGCTGTTTTAAAGTCCTGAACCTATTTAATAACATGAGTTTTTATTTATAAGTTATGCTAGCCTCTTTTTACCTGGAACTGAGAAAGACACGATATGGAATGCAATATGCTGGAAGTATTAGATAAAAGATCAAAAGATGGATTGGCGATAAAACAATAAACACTGAGCTTGATGAGTGAACTTTAAATATGAAGTAGTTTTATTTCATAAGTTGCACCTGTTGTAACAAAGCCAGTTAAGTCAATATTCAAGTCTATTTACCTGTCATTTAAAGATATTTTATGTGCCACACACCAAATATTATAACTGACACATCTTATTTTTAACAAAACTTTTCAGAAATTTTGTCTTTACATCTTTGATACAACCGGTCTTACTTAACTAATCATGATTTCGATTAAATTTTGTTTTAAAATACAAGACATAGACTCTAGAAGCAGTTTTTACCAAAATAGTTTTGTTCTTATAACTGTATGGCTTATTATGCATCACATGTGAAATTACTTCATATATGAAATCATTTCAAATATGAAGTGTTTCAATTTCACATAAGGTTTCACATATTTTGTATATGAAATTCTAATGTGAACATTTCGTAAGGGAACGTTGAAATTCAACGTTCAGCGAACGCTGTTTGTACGGCTAATTTCTACACCGATAACGAACGTTGTATCAACGTAAATAAAACGCCAAAATGACTGCTTTAGATGATGCTCTGATGCTAAGAAGCATGAAAAATCTAAGTGGCATTTGACTGTTTTTGACACATGGAAAACGTATGGAGCTAGTGAACGAATTGATTGTAGTATGTCCCTCGCTAGAAGAAATGAGATTCAGCGTCACAGTGAGGAGGTAAGACCAAATCAAGAAATTTTAAAAACTGCTACTGAGGCAGTGCTGTATCTGTCAAAGCAACAGTTGCCATTTAGAGGTGACGATGAGTCCGAAGGTAGCTTGAACAAAGATAATTATAGAGAGTTGCTCCAATGTTTTGCTAAGTTTGACTCCGTATTTGAGCGTCGACTGCACAGTAGACTAGCAGAATCTGATATAGTTTGTGAAAGAAGATTTACTGAAGTCTCCCCAAAAATTGAAAATGATCTTTTTAGCTGTCTTGATTTCATTATTGAGGATAAAATCAGAAAGGAAATAAATGATTGCACATTATGAGTGTTCAGGTTAATCTGATGTGTCCACCAAAGAGCAGCTAAATGTTTTTGCTCAGTTTGACAAAGCAAGTGAAATTATAGAGAGGCAATTAAGATTTGTGGATGTAACTATAAACAGAAATGCGACAGCAGTAACACAAGTTGTCAAAGATAAAATTAGTGAGTGTTCTGATATTAAAGACTAGTTTTGCAAACATATGATGGTGCTTCTGTCATGTTTGGCCATATCAATGGTGTTCATGCATTGGTTCTACAAGAGTCTCCTTTTGCCCAATTGGTTCATTGGGCAGCTCATAAATTGAACTGGGTCCTATGCCAGTCAGCCTCGTCAATTTCTCCTGTTAAATCTTTTTCATTAGTATAGGTACATTCAGCACATTTACAAGCAATGCCACAAAAATAAAAGCTTTTCTCACACCTAACAACCTGGTGAAACAAGATGGTATTATCGCTCTAGATTAATCAATGTATTGCACAAAAACTATGGAAAACTTTTAGATATTTTTGAGGGGGTACTTGAACAACCAGCTGGGTGGGATGATGAGTCATTAAGTAAAATAAGTGGCTTACTGCATTATTTTGATAGCTTTCTCTTTTGTTTTCTAGTGTGTGTTTTTTACAGGATTTTAGAACAGTCCACAATTTTGTATTCCATTCTTCAAAATAGGGAAACCCATTTTAACTATGGCATAAGCAAGATTGACAATTTCAAGCAGTTTATTGTGTCACTTCGCACAGATCAAGCTTTCGCCGAGTTTTACCAAACTGCACTAGAAAAAGTATGTCCACTAGCAACCAGAGCAGATAGTAGATACAATTACAAATAGCTTAATTTTGAGATTATTGATTCCATTAAAGTCATGTTAAGTGAACGATTTCAAGATATTAATCAGTTCGAGTTTTTAGACCTTGTAAATCCTAAACTATTTACTACATGGAAGGGCATAGTTCCACAGGGCATAGTTCAATCTTCTCAAAGATAAGTATAGTCCTCTTTTTGACATCCAAACTTTGGAGAGTCAAGTTTCCTTCATTTACAACGACAAGGACGATTACAAAGAGTGCAGTAATGGGGTGCTTAAATACATCTACAAATTTTATCTCCAGTAGAGAGGACATTTCTTGCTTGAAAAGGGTAAAAAGCTATGTGAGGAATAGAATGGATCAAGGTCGGCTTAGCTCTTTGTGTAGAATATCTATTCACAAAAATATCATTGAACAAAAGAGGAATCAGATGTGTTGCAAAATGAAGTGTTTGAAAAATTTGTAGAAAAACCCAGGAGGCTGGCCTTTCTTTATAAATGATGGGTATTGTACGCGTTTTAATATTTGTTCTTATGGTACTTCATTGAGAAAATTGAGCATTACTATAAGGAAAAAGCCATCTCACTTTACCTGCCCAAATTAAAGAAGTGTAAGCTAACTAGTGGAATGGTAAAGACAATCTCTCCCTGTGCATTTTAGGAAGTGTCGTATACTATGTTTGTTTTTGTGCTACTACAAATTTCTTATGTTTTTCAGGGCAGTGATGAGTACGATTCATTATGTTTTAGGGAACAGTTGTTCCTGCGTAACGTTTCACTGAGCCACCTTTAGTACATTTTTAACTAGTTACAGTTTCGACGATTTACACATTAAGAATGCAGCTAGTAAAAACGGGTTTTTATAACTTATTGTACAAGGAATAATTCGCCCTCCAAATTTCAAAATTTTCCTGTGGAGTATGTCCGCCGAACCCCCTAGTGGGGGTCGCGCCTCTGGCGCAACAATAGTGGGCGGGAGTTACTGTTTTCCCTGGCTACGCCACTGTCGTTCATTATGAAGTAAAATTGCGTAAAGAACATACAAACACACAATAGATTTCTCTATGTTATCTGTATGTTACGTTCTACTTGCAGTTTCATCATACTTTATCCAACGATTCCATATTTCATCGATGGAAATATGCTCATCAACGCGTAATATGAACAATGATGAGTTAGATTATAATTTATATGTTACGTATCTAACATGTTGTACTAGTCCAGATTAAATCACAGTCCGTGCTTTACAGCATGCCTTCCCGTGAATTCCGTGTAATATGAGACTTTCAAAGCCAATGTATACATTGCATACATATTTACTTCTCCAACAACAAGCATTGTCATCCTGTCTACTCAATAATCATAGTAAGAGGTGATCATTAGTTTGTTTTCTGAATTTTGTATAAAACACTGCAAGAAAATGGACAAATCTTAAACGAGTCAATTAATCCCTCGACATCGAAAAATATATTTGCATTGTTACACCAAGACGTATGGAATGGCCAGCTCTAAAACTATTTGGCTTCATATTCTCTTGTTCGTTCTCAAGCAAGAATTATTGAAAGGTCAGTCAAGCCCATACATTATGTAAAATTAAGCAGACGAAGTGTACTTATTAGAATGAGTATTAGAAATTCTTTGCTGCGTATTTTATAAGAAATACCATGTTAAATTAAATGAAGATATAATCTTCGCACTTTGCTGGACAATTTAAGCAATCGTCTCAGGACCTGAAAAAATCAGGTGACTCAACGGGACTCGAACCCATGACCTCTGCGGTGCCGGTGCAGTGCTCTGACCAACTGAGCTATGAAGTCACACAGTGGTGAGCAGGTCAATATTGTTGGGCAAAGTGCGAAGATCATATCTTCATTTAATTTCAAACACCGCACTGCATAAAACATTCATACGACATTCCTTTCACGAGAAAACATGAGCCCAACAATATTGTCCAGCAAAGTGCGAAGATCATATCTTCATTTAATTTCAAACACCGCACTGCATAAAACATTCAAATACCATGTTAATTAAATTTCATATTGATGAAATGGTGTTTGAACAGGTTTTACGTGTATTGATATGATGGCAGATAATTGCCAATGTTATGTTGTCAATTGTCAAAGAATCTTTACAACTAATAAGATTGTAATCCATGCATCGAGTGTACGCGAGACATTTATTAAGTGACAATTTATATTAAAGAAACGTGAATAAGGTAATAAAAATAGTTTATTTCAAAGTAATAATGACATTAAATTTGGGCCTTCTTTTTATCTTTCTTTAAAGGGGAACTCCACCCAAAAATAATGTTGGTCTTAAAACTTTGTCTGTCCCGTGAAAATAAATATGCGGCAATTTTTTTGTTTGTTTGATTCAATATTTTCACAAAAAATGAGTTGAAATGCTGCAGCTAGGGCATCTGGTGCGTGGGAGCAGAAATATGTCAGCGGCTTGTATTGACGTCATATCGTCAATTGCTCCTCAAAGCTTTATGTAAAGTCATTGCACAGTCATAATAAACTTGCGTCAAAATGCTTCTCCTAATCACAAAATGTTTCTTTTCGAAACGTCAGAATTTTTTATTCGTAGGTATATACACAAGCAACTTTTATAGCTTACATGCAAATATTGAGCTGGTTATTTGTATTCTGTTTTAATAGAACGGTTTCACATCCATAAAGGCCATTACGCACAGTTTCCGCACTACATATAGAACTTGAATGTCGATTAATATTATTTTTTAAAAAATACGGAGGTTTCTTTGTGTGGAAACTGTGCGTAATGCCGTTTGCTTGTCCTCCGAATTCAACCTTAACAACAGTTTCCACTGATGTGAACCCAATCTATTGCCCTTAATAAACATTGAATAATAATAAACATGGTTGTGTAACTCATTACGGTTAGAAAATAATCCTACATAAAACCATTGTAAAAATAGCCTTTCGTGCATAGAATTAAGGTGTAGTTTCCTTGACGTAAAGTATGAACTTATAGTTTCCTAATTATTGTACATAATTTCCCTTTTTTAAGTCACATTTGGGACGAAAATTTATTTCCTACGCACGAAACCATTGGTATAAATAGAAGTAAAATTAGAGACTACGCAGTAGAGTTGTTATTTGATAAGAAAAGTCGTACTTCTTTCTTAATAAAAATTCCATAACTAAGAATCAGAGTGCAGATCAATTTGGACGAACTAAACGAATTCTGCGACAATGGTCAACTGTTGTGTTCCGGGTTGTACAAATTACTCGTCGAAGTCAAAATCTTCAGGTGTTAGTTTCCACCTTATTCCGAAAGACCCCTCACGTCAAAAGGCATGGATTGCTAGAATACGGAGAGAAAATCTACCTCCTCTCCAATACTGTTACGCTTGCAGCGAGCACTTTGCTCCCGATTGTTTTGAATCGGACCTAAGACAGAAACTTACACCATGGCAACCTTTAAAAAGGCGACTGAAGCGGGATGCAGTACCATCGATCTTTTCATTTGGCCCTCAACCCAGTAAAAAGCGTCTGTCTAGCGAGCATCGTACAGAGAAACGTCAGGCTGATCAAGACAAGGAGGAAGTTAGTAAAAGCATTTCTTGTTAAATTTTAATCAAGAAAAAGTTATAGCCTAAAGTATATTCTAAATATTTCTATTTTTTCTATTTTCAGCTTTCAAATGTTTTAGAACAATGTTCCTCCACAAATACAAATGTTTCTTAGTGGTTGAGCCTGAAGCAAATAACAGTTGTGATTTGGATGCGTCTGACAGTCCTGAAGCATTGCCAACTAATTATTCCTCCACAAATACAAATGTTTCTTAGTGGTTGAGCCTGAAGCAAACAACAGTTGTGATTTGGGTGCGTCTGACAGTCCTGAAGCCTTGCCAACTAATTATTGCAAGCCAGAAACCAAAGATGCATCAACACAGTGTTCATTTGTTGTGAGGAGTTTACATGCCATGGAAGTCCAAACTACACTGTCGATGCTGAATACTGTGGATGCAGAGGTTGAAAAACAAACACCCTCATATTGATCACCAATATGATGTGTGGCATTTGTCTAAATCTGTCACAAAAAAACTAACAAAGAAGGCTAACATTAAGGGAAATGATGACTTGACCCATTGGATTAAGTCCATTTCTAATCATCTTGGGGGTGCTCTGCATGTTGTAACAAGAATGCAGAAGAATTGATGGAAAAATGGAAGTCTGTCCTTAACCACATTTCCAACAAGCATTTCTGGAAGGGGAACACATATTTTCATCAATGTTGCCACCAACAATTAATTCATCGACGTTGAATCAGTGAAGACAACTTTTGTACTACTTAAAAAATGTTCATTCTTAAATATTAACATAGCAAAACCTTTTGCTATAGCTAGTTTCACCACTGCATTACACAAACTATTTATGTAATTAATTATAGTTATATTATAACCAGTGTAATAGCCAAGCCAAATTTATAATCATTTCTTTGTAAATCTGTTTTTATTTTTTTGTAATAAATTAATAATAATAAATGTGCATAGCATGACCTATATATGAGCTGGCTATGCCACTTTAATATTGACATACAAAGTAATTGTAATGGGTATACCTATATCATAATAAAATACTTCATTCATCAACATAGTGAAAGCCTTCAAATTGAAGTTCCTCTGCAAGGCCAGGTGGAGGAAATGTTTCTCTAATGCGAGTAACTGCGCATGATGGCAAGATGACTCTCACTCTCTGTCCAAGACACCCCAGCACCATCTTGCCAACTGTCTATATGCAATATGGTGGTACAGTTTGTCTTCAGGCCCATCATATGCTACCTCATATTGCTGCTTGTACTGGTACCAAGCTGTTTGTAAAAGCCACCTGTTAAGACAAACAGGCTCAAAACCAGGATGTTGTGTAATGCACAAAGGGACTTCGGTGGTCTCATTCGTTTCTACTGCCTCTAAATTTTTGTCACAAATATTGGAAATCTCTTTGCAGCATAAACATTCCTCGTTATTATCCATTATTTGGCAGTTACCACATTGACACCTGAATATGTTAAAAGAAAGGATCTTGAAAAGTAAATGTCAACACTTCAATAAAAATTGTATCTTACAATAAAAACTTTAAAATCTAAAGTATTATGTGTGTGTGGACGTGGTCAACTTCAAAAACTGAAAACGTACTTTTGAGATAGAAACAATGGTCTAGAATAATATAACATTTTACTACCCACCATTCAAGATTGTCGCGCCGAGATTCATCGTCAATATACAAAAATTCCTGTTCTTCGTTATCCTCAAACTGGTGAGCTTCTTCGTGTTCATCAGCCGGCCATTCGGGCTCAAACTGATATGGCCGAATATTGTTTGTTGTATTGTCTTCCATTTCACTATCGATTGGTGAATTAGGCCGAGGTTCTTCCAAAAAAGCCATTATAAGCGATTGTTTTGTTTTTGTGCTAGGCTGTGCGTTATTATTTTACTTTGTTGTAAACTCAACTCCAAATCGGTTTGACGATATGACGTCAAAGTAATTTCCGCTGACGCTTTCTGTGCCCACTCTGCTAAGCCTCAAAACAGCTCAAATAGCGCACTTGAAGACGCGATTTTGTCAAAAATAAAATAGCTGATGTAAAAATTTCAAAATATAGTAACCTTTGCATAAAAATGGAACTTTTAAGACCAACATTATTTTTGGGTGGAGTTCCCCTTTAACACTAAACGGGAAAAATACGAATTTGAAAATACAAATTTTGGCATTTCATAGTTTATACCAAAGAAAGAGATGCAAATCATGATAATACCATGACCTGACCACTGGTGGCTTGCACAATTTAATATCCATAAAATGAAGTAGATTCTTGAAATTAATTCATAAATTGTAAATCTGTAAATTTTGTAAATCTCTATTAAACATCAATATGATCAAAATTATACTTGAAAAATTCTCATGATTTAAACGATTTTCCTTGCGCCTAGTTCTCAGTTAAAAATTGGCCAGTAACAGGCTTAGATTGCTTGTCACGTGACATCACACGTGCTGAAATCATGGAAAGTTAATTCCTTAAGGTGGTACTATGACGAAAATTTTGCCTCTCGTTTTTTTTCATAGATTGATAGTGTATGTAAAAAATGTCTTCTGGCGAAATTTTAGCGCAATGTATTTCATGCTGCTCGGGCTACGTAGCAATAAAACTTGAACTTTAAGAGCCGCCATTAAAATGTGCCATATTTGAATTTTCAAGAAGGAAGGTGTTTGTGACGTCATAGTCTTAACTCACGGCTGTTTACAATATAACACTATATACAAATAGAGATTTAAAAGGTTGTATAACTCAATTTTTTTACATGCCTTCAACACCCTGTGTCGTGCAAGGTTGCAGTAATAAGTCTGATAGAAGTACAGGCATTTCATTACATAAAAGCTCAAACGACGAGTCTTTGAGAAGAATTTGGGTTAAATTTGTTCAGACGAAGCGCACAAACTTTAATTCGATTTCGCGCGAAATTCGATTTATGATTTGTTCGAATCACTTCTCGGATGATTGTTTTGAGCGTTTATTCCATTTGGGTGGTATGACTAGACGGCTCAAACATGGTGCCGTACCTACTATTTGGAAGAAATCACAAACACCAACAACGTCAAGAGAGCGGCGTCAGGTTAGCACAAGTTGCAATTATTATATACTTACACATATTGCAGATGATAAATTTTCACAATTTGGGAGAACCAATAATACATCCAGGCAAACCTTAATATAAAATATACATTTATACTAAGGTTTTAAAGGAAATACAAAATGAAGTGTCCGTATCATGCGATGACCTTTGCTCTTTAAACGTAACGAAGCTGCTTGAAGAACAAATTCGTTCTGGCAAACTTCGTTAAAGCCAGGGTGATCCAAAATGCATTTCCTTTCATCGATTTCGAACTGATACATTTTACCACGGCATTGCTCTATTTCCATGAAGCATCGGCACTCTTGAGGGTTGACAACAAGATCCAACGAACAATGGCCACATTTACACCTTTAATATTGGCCAAATTGTATGTTTCCATAAAGTTATCATAGCTAACGGCAGACGATTCAGATCAAAGTAACACACTAAGAATGACATCTTACCATGAAGTAACATCAACACGGGCATCAAAACGATCTTGCAGCATGTCTTCAACCCGCCGTTCTTCTGCGACTGTAGCTTCGTACTCAGCAATTTTATCGGGCGAAGCAAGCGGTTCAATATTATGCAAATGGAAAATTTCTGAATTAGATTCGTTCGAATTTGCCGTCACAAATTCCGATGAAGAAATCGATGCGTTTGTCTCGATCAAAGACTCAGAGAGCGAGCTAGATCTCGATGAATTTGACATTTTTTGCTCTGTTTATGTATTACTTTGTATACTTTCCAATGTGCGCTTCTTGCCGTGTTAAGACTATGACGTCACAGACCTTTGCTGATTGCAAATATTCAAAATGGCCGATTTTAATGGCGGACATGAAAATTAGACATTTCAAATGTTCATAACTCCCTCGTTATATTATTATTTTTGCTTACATTTTACAAAAGCAATAATTGATATGTGTTTAAACTATTGAATGCTAAAATCGATGATTTTTTAACGTTAAGTTTTCGTCATAGAACCACTTTAACTTACCTCGTGCATTTTAACGACAAATTTACTGGCATTTGTCATTGAAATTAAAACCAGTTTTAGTTTCGTTACTATATGCCATCAACAACTTGTATTCAAATACATTATTGCATGTTTTAGACACCGCTCACTAAACCGTTGAATCAACTTGCATATGACCTATAGACTATAGTCAACTGTCACTATGCGGAAACCCTACAACAACGGACATAATTTCTAAATATCTGAATAAAAAATTCTGAATTGAAGTAATCGGTTTTACGGTAATAACTACAGGTACTTTATGCTCCCCACACACACAAAAAAAACATCTTCATTGTTGTCTTTTTTGAACATATGAGCATATTATTATACTCTAACGCAGGTAACATATTTTAATGTAGGCGTGACCCGACAAATAGTATTAGACTAATACTTTATAACCAGAACAAGACAGCAAACTGGTGTAAATATTTTTACAACTTTGGAAATTTCCATCACAATTCCCGGAATACGAAATAACCGTGCCATGTTGATCTTCTATGTAGCCATGCACCGGGTTGACATTTACATAAACACCTCACTTATTATTCCATTTTTTGTTGTTTTGTTGTTATATTTTTTTATATTATTTTGTAACTAAGATATTTCCGACGATTGCGCGTCGACTGCAAGATAGTTTATGTTTGAATGCAAAGGCTTCGCACACTGCAAAAATTCATCCAATAAATTGTTCATAAATACTTCAAATGGAAGTATTCATTCTATAAATTCATCCCATATATTGCATTCTTCTCATGGTTGTTAAGAATTATTGTTTGACACGTCTGATATGAATTTTCATATTACATTTTTAAACGTTTCTTTTTATTTTCACGTTATGTGAGTCCAACACGACCAGGAGATCATTTTTTTGTCTATAAACAATTATTGGATGAGGTTGAGCATGATATCAAGAATTATTTAGACCGAGGTCAATGTTATATGCCGAAGCAAAGCTGAGGCGGATAATATTGACCTCGGTTCGAATAATTCTTTATATCATGCAAAAAACGAATTTAATAATTGTTTTATTATTCACCTCAACTAACTGAAATATTATTAAAACTGATCAATGTAAAAAATTTCAAATCTTCTCTAATGTTCCTTGTCGGACATTTTTTCACGTTCTTCTCGTTTTAATATGCTGTACATATGCTCAAAACCTGCCTGGTCCCTTTTTTAGTGTTCTCTTCATTCTCTTTGCTCAAATATAATAGTAATTTTTTTCTTTTTTACTTTTATTTCCGTTGTATAATCCTTTGTAAGTACTTCGGTGTATTAACAGTTTCACTTCAAAATATAAGTGTGTTAAAACTACACGAAAAAGCGTATTTTTCTTTGTCCATTTTTACCACACGTTAACACGTGTGTTATATCTGCACGGATAAACATGTGCTAAAATTACACGAAGAAGCGTGTGTTTTTTTTTCGTCCACTTCTACCACACGTTCACACGTAAGTTAAATTAGCACGGATAGATATGAGTTTAATTAACACGATGATATGTGTTGAAACCTTACGAGAAAATGTATTAATTTTTCTCGTCAAAACCACACGGCAACATGCGTACAATAACGACACATTTTTCAAATGTGTTAAAACAGCAATATATACAATACAAGTGATGTTCATTGCTTACATTGCATCAATACAAATGAAATGTTTATATCTAGGTAAAAATAATGAAAAGCAAAGAATAAATTAAAAAGACACATGTGTAAGAAAACAGGAAATATATATGCATGCATCATACTTACGTGACTGATCCTACTGTCACTGTAACTACAGAGTACGTAGATTGTCTTTTGCTTCATTTGGTCTTGACTGAATCGACCACTTTTTGTAAGAATTTCATGTCTGCATTGCGAAAGATGAATGTTTAGGTGCAACAAATGTGCTCAAGAATGCTGGAAGCCCTTATAAGATGATAAAAAAGTGATCAGTTATTACCAAATCAAAGTAAGCAATATCTTATCAATAATGTTGGGTCTTGATATTAAACCAAAATATAAACAATATGAAAGATTTATGCACAATGCTTTGACTTTTTAAATTTTAATGAATAATAATCACAGTGGCTTGCGTTTTTTGTGCTATTTTAACATACATGGACGCAAGTCAGCACGCGTGTTTTTTTTCATTTTAGCACACTTATTTTTTTGCAGTTTAATTAAAAAGAAATCTCATAAAGCGAATAATATGAAATTTTACATAAAAAGTCCAAACTTGCTGAGTGCATAGTGTTTATGAAAATAACTTTTCTGATAAAATGGTTGGATGAAGGCTGTGAAATGTTACTGAAAGTGACCTTTCATATAGATACAATTGTCTTCTGAGTTTTATTTTAGTTTCATTGATATTTTTACGTCGTTTTAATGTGCACTAATTATTGAATAGCAATAAGATGTGTTTATAAACACACTTAGAAATGACTTTTTGAGATAAGTTAAAAGGTACTTAGGATTATTTAATTTTGTTTTTTTTTTCGACACAAAGGCAGAGCAGTTGCGTCTACAATCAGGCCAAGTACCAAAATCATCATTGTTGTCAGCTCATTTGTTTCATCAACCAAATTTACAGACAGCATAGAAATTTTGGCGACAATACCATCCTCCGCAAGTTTTCCAACTGTGCCTACGAGTAGGGAACACACAGTCACAGCAGTTACGTTTACCACCACGCAAAGCGTCGATCAAAGAGCAAACCAATATGTAACTTCTTCATCTTTACCTATGGGTAGTGATCAATGCAAGCATGATGCTAAATCAAAACTACACCATCACGTTTGGCTGTTGATATGGATTGGTGGTGGGATGTTTGTTTTGATGCTGCTTTTCATCGTTGCTTTGTTATATGTAAGTTACAAGTGTTTGTATAAAATCTTATATTCCAATTTTTTGTGTCAGGAAAATATCAAAATCTGTTTATTTTGAGTAAAACGTTGGAGCGAGTGAATTCCAGAAGCTGATATAAAATTTAGTTACAGATGCTAAAAAAATTAATCACTCTTAAAAATTGTTCCTTCTATGTTTTAAAACAAACTCACAGTTCTCTTAAACGCATGCATGGAAGGAATAATCAGCATGTCTATACATCAGAGATAAAATTTTATCACATGGGTAACGCTTTTAACAGTTCTTTCTAATTGTCTATTTTCTTAGTATAAAAACAGAATGCTAACGAGGCGAGTAAGGTCTATGAAGGACTTTAGTCTTCCGATTAAAGAAAATGGGGACTGGATAGATAATCAAGACATTTCTCTTTGGCACAAGAGAGCTTCAGAATTTATGTCTGAAAATCCTGTTGCCCTAGAAAATCTTAATGATACTACTTAGTTATGAAGGCATTAACATTCATTACATACAGCTGGAAAATCTATCTTTCTAAAACCATACTATCACGTATTTAGTTTTACTTAAGATGTGTTTTAATCAAATATTGGTAGGTATAGTGCAATATCGAACAAAGCCAACTTTCAAAGATTCTTTGCTGCATTTCAAGAATGGACTTGAAATTTCAAATAATTGTTAGTAGCTAGTAGTCACTACACTGTAAATTTTAGGGGGTAAAAGTGATCTTTTTTAGGGTAGTATTTACTACCTTCAGAAGGGTAATTGACTAAAGAGTAATATTTACTCTAAAATCTTGGGTATTTTGCTATCCTTAGTTTAAATTTTACCCTCAACATAATGGTAACATTTACAATGACCGTCTTTGGGTGTAAATGCAACATGTGGGTGTAAAACTACTCCGTGTGTTTGGTGCAATGCCAAGTGCAACGCATTTTTTAAAATCAACATGGCGGAATTAAGCAAGAGTGAAAGAAACATGCTTCTTCGTAAACAGAGTCCAAACCACTTTGTCGGAATATTAACATTTATGGTCCATTTCTCCAAGATTTCTTGAATAAAGTAAGTATATATTATATATATAAATATACAAAGTGTATAGCAATGTGCCCTCCCGGCTATCACCATATTAAAATGGTGACTCCTGCACTTGGGACACAGGACGTACGGTTACACATAGTCTGGATTGTATTGTAGAGTCATCACAGTGCTCAAACCTATAAGGTGAGCTTTGCATATCGGCAAACGTCTCCATATGGGACTCTCTACACAATCCGACAGTGCTCAAACTACGCACGTGCAGTGAGCGTAATATACAAAGTGTATCTCCCGGCTATCACCATATTAAAATGGTGACTCCTGCACTTTTGGACACAGGACGTACGGTATATATATATATATATTGATTTACAATATATTTAAATAACACCACGTAATGTAAGAGTTGTAAACGACTACTAAATACATGCTCTCGTTACTCTGAAAGTCTGAGCTCCCTTGTATCTTGAATAGCCTCTTGTATTAAAAACCATTTAAGATATTTGGGTACTATGGAAAAGGCTGCATTTTGGCATTTCGGTTATACAAAGATGCCTGTCTGTACGGCTCAGAGAACATGCAACCAGACTCTCTTCTAGTGCAGTTGGCCCAGCATTTCTCTGAGCGCGAAAACGCTCAATTCCTGGCGACTCTACAAAATCAGTTCTCATAACTCAATGATCTCCCTTCACCTCCCAAAACTCCCTCTCTTATAGAAAACCTTGTATTCCACAACTATAAAATACTTCACTCAACCAAATCTATCAACTACCACATTCTTGCTTTTCTTGAAGCACTACTTATTAAACATAACAAACTTTTTCTCAACACGGGACTTAAGGCTAGCAAAGAATTACTACTCTTTTCTTAATTTATAACACACTCATTCTACCAGTCGGGTCGGCAGTTTGAATACATCCTTTTGAAATACTACACCTCTTCCAACTCATTGTAAATGTCACACTATTTAATTTCTTATGAATGTTTTATGCAGTGCAGTGTTTGAAATTAAATGAAGATATGATCTTCGCACTTTGCTGGACAATTTAAGCAATCGTCTCGGGACCTGAAAAAATCAGGTGACTCAACGGGATTCGAACCCATGACCTCTGCGGTGCCGGTGCAGTGCTCTGACCAACTGAGCTATGAAGTCACACAGTGGTGAGCAGGTCAATATTGTTGGGCTCTTGTTTTCTCGTTTCCAACATTCATACGACAGAGAAAAGAAAATGTGACCTGCTCACCACTGTGTTTCATTCAGTTCTGATTTCGAATCAAGTCACCTGATTTTCCTGAACCTGTCACAAAGTCATATCTTCATTTCAAACACCACAACATTCATACGACATTCCTTTCACGAGAAAACATGAGCCCAACAATATTGACCTGCTCACCACTGTGTGACTTCATAGCTCAGTTGGTCAGAGCACTGCACCGGCACCGCAGAGGTCATGGGTTCGAATCCCGTTGAGTCACCTGATTTTTTCAGGTCCTGAGACGATTGCTTAAATTGTCCAGCAAAGTGCGAAGATCATATCTTCATTTAATTATTTAATTTCTGTTGCTTATTTCCGTTTACTTATTTCATGCGTTGTAAATATATATGTGTATGTATGGTTTTAAATATCATTCTGTCTGAGGATGAGTTTGAAATAAAGTCGAAAATTTACAGTTTACTTCTCGTCTTGTTTTGATTCATATTTTGCAGTCTCAAGATGTCTTGCTTCTTCGGAATTTGTTTTATACTATATTGTTGCTCTTGATCAACTCAAATGCAACAGAGGTTGTGTTTTTTTTTTTTGGAAAACATATTTTCTACTAGAGGAGGTTTATGCTTCTGATTATGTTTTATTTCATATTATGCTCGCCTTTTAATTCATTTTCTCACTTCATGACGTTGATTCCGACCCCGATCTCACACGCGTGCCACTCAATCCTTGTAATTTGATTCCAAGTAACACCAAAATCTTATATCGCTGTAAAAATAATAATCCTAATCAACTTCTCATCTTAGAAGCACCTTTGATAAAACGCAATATGCCACAACTTAATAGTGGTCTCAAAGCGTGTAAGAAATTATCTGTATTTTAATGTAAGCAGACCTCTCAAGTCTAACGATTTTGTCGTGAGACTCACGGTTTTCAGTTCAATCTCACGGTCTCACGACAAGACAGAAAAATCTCACGATAAATAGTGGCGCAAGTTGGCAGAACAAATTTTTTGTTGTATTATTTCATTTTTGGCGTTTCTTGCGCCAATTCAGTGCTAATCCGTAGTTAAATTTAACAAACCGTTACCCAGCTATTTAGTTCATGACGGACTATCGACTATGGCCATATATAGAGTACTTGTTCCAAATTACGTCATCATTACCAGTCTCTCACATTTTATCACGTTTTTAAAATGGCGGAAGTTGCGGATGAACCTAATGAATATATATCCGACGATCAAGAAGAGAGAGGTTCAGTTTTAAACACAAAAGGAAAAGACAGAGGTGCAGCGAAATATAAAACCAAGTTCAACACAGAATGGGAACGTGCGTATCAAGTTAAACGTGTTCAAAACGATGCATATTCATTTTGGTGTGTTCCTTGCAATAAACGTGTTCGTTTATTGAAAAAAGACTGTCTCTGAATCAGAACCTGTGTTTACTTGGTTTTGTCTGCCGGTAGATCAATCACCAGATTTTTTTGCATCAGTCTCCTGATTTTATGTGTTTTGAGGTTGAGAGGTCTGTGTAAGTATACTGTCTGATTGTTTAGTTTTATAGTTCTCCAATTACATAACTGTCATTTCCGCTTGTAAATATTATACAAAAGTTTCGCAGCCTGCATTGTAAACTATAAGTCTGATAATGTCTTTGGAAAGCTATGTCTATTTATTGTCTTCTCGGGAATTTCAATGATGGTTTTGCTCATTGGTTTTTCAAAAATACGACTATAATTATTTTTTTTACTTTGTTTGATTGAAAACCTTAGGTAGCTTGGAAAGACATTTATAGCATTGTATTCTGTAAATGAAACTGTTTTTGGGCAGGATGGACAAAAATTTGAGGGAGAAACTCGTCAAATCCGGCGTAGAAGAAGCAACAGTTTCTATATTGGAAAATCAAAAGTAAGTGAAGTGCATCTTGCATAAATCATAATGTCAAATATCGCATTGATTTCCAAACTTTCTCTATTTAGTTGAATGACTGTTTTATATTAAATGAAACGGATATCAGTGTTTTGGTTTTGTGTGGAGTAAAGTCAGGTGATGCAACTGACACTGTCATCCCTATATGCTTTCCGCGTGGTAAATCTATTATCACAATATAAGGAAAAATAAAGAAAATATAACATTTTATAAATGCTAAGTTGTGTTAACTTTTAAACAGACTTTGAAACAACAAGTTCAGTGATGCTGTTAGTCCATTTGCTAACCAAGAAAACGTCTGAAAACAGCCCAGCATGATGGAAATGCTGTCGGTAAGCAATGATAAAGACTTCTTAGTGAATTGCATGCAACGCTTGTGTCCACGTTCTTCTTTAATTTACTAGGAACGTTTTTCATACAGTGCATTCATCGAGGCAACTTTCAAACACTGAAGCCTTTTCTTTTTTGTGTATGTTTTATGAAGATGATGATTTGCCGAACAAAATAACTCGCACCACCTATCCATGAGTTTTGGTTATTGGTGAAAACATACTGAAGCCTGACCGGCTACTATTGTGCGTCCATGGACGACAACTCGTTGACGTAACTTCATTTTCTTTAGACACAGTCCTTTTTACGCTCTATGCAACATACTATGTATTTTCTATAGCTTATCCACAAGATCATAAGGATGTATTTCTTTTTATTAATTCCGTTTGTTGGGTTGCAGCACATTGCTACCAATAGAATTAGCTTGCAAAAATTTATTAAAGCTCTTACCAGTTTAAAGTAAGCATTAAGTGGACATTCAAACCATTACACTGGACATTTAGACCATTTTTTCTGTTACGGTGTACGCATGTTTTATGTTGGCGTAGCTAGCTCAATTATTGAGGGGAGTACTCGAGGGCAGCGGAGTATCGAAAATTGGGGGGCGCTATTATTCATTTTTGCCCGTTCTACTTTACATTGAAATTAATTACTTTTAGGAATTATAGCATATGAATATATGAATCCCCCCCCCTCCCAATTATCAATGTTCTGCCAATGGTAGAGTATTTATGTTTGCCAATACTCTGTCAATGGTTGAGTAGTTATGTTTGCATGTTGAACCTCGTTACTTTTCCTTGAATCAAATCTTTTTTATTGATAATAACGCGCAATTTTAATATTTGCCACCCTTCACTCCATTCTCGAGATAGCTACGCTCATTCCTTTTCTGTTGAAATAAAGAGATTGTTTTTTTATCCATTTTATTTTATTCTTATTATAGATTCAGAGTTCGTGTTAACCCCATTGAAGCATTACCTTTTGTATTTGTGCCCTAAAAAATGCAGCATTCTGTGTAAATTCTTTTTACCCCAAATTTATGGGGGAATTGCATGTCTATCAAAATCACCCTTTTAAAATTTACCCCATAAATTTTACCCCTTGTTAAATTTCACTACTTAATAGAATTTACCCCTAACTAAATATTACCACAGTAAATTTTACCCTTAAATAAATGTTAGCCCCATAAAACGTTACCCTTCAAAACCGGGGCATTCTGTGGCACTCATTTAACTCCTAACTTTAAGGGTAATTTTTACCCCCCAAAATTTACAGTGTACTTTGACATTTT